ACCATCTGATGGCAAACAAATATATATAACATGTTTTTGCCAAATATTAATCATAGCTCTTTTTTCCTTCCTTTACAAGTATTGGGCGTCAAAGGCCCATTCAGAGAGTCGAACTGTTCTGACCAACCCATTCTATGTGTGCCTCTTTAACTAGCATCGTGCCGTGCTGTGGGGTTCGCCCTGCTGCGCCGCTGCTGTGCAGAGGCGGTGGGCGAAGCGCGCTCATGTGTGCGCTGCGCGTTCCTCGGGCCGCGCTCTCCCGCTAGGCCTCGCTTCCGCGCAGCGGCCACAAATATCCTAATCCACGGTCGCGTTAACGTTGGCAAGCGCAGGGGCAGGAGTGTGCCTTTTTCGAAAAGAGTTTACGCGAATTTGCTTGGAAACTTTATGCATGAGCTGTTTCAAAAAGAATGTGAAACTCCTAAACTAGCCCGTTGTTGTTTGAGGACATTACAACTCGTAGTGTCAATTTGTGCCTATCTGATTTAGTGTCTCGCACTGCCCGACTCTGTTCTGACCCCACCCGACGCGACCCGACCCGACCCGCCATGGCCGATCCCGCCCTGCCTCATCCCATCCGCCCAACCCACCCTCTCCCTCCTCCCCTAGCCCTACATCGGGAGGCTCTGCACTGCTCCGCCCTTCCCCGATCCGCTCTTTCGTACCCTCCCTTGACATGTCCTGCTACACCCTGGGCCTACCTCACACATTCTCTCAGAAAAATACGATACACGTTCAATTATTGGAGATCTCCGCTCGGTTCACTTCACTTTCTAACTAAAATGATTATCAAATTAAACTAAAAGGAAACCATATTTATTAGCAACCTATGCTTTTGTTGGGTTATATCTCACCAACACTTATAATTATTAGTTACTGTATTTATAGACAAATCATATTTCCCCCATGTAGTTAAAAAACGTGCTCACGCTGTGTGTGGCAATTTATATTTAAACACCATTTTAGGATCCATGTCATTCTGTTTTCGTGCTGGTTAGTTTGGAAGTTTTCTTAATAGTCTTCATATTTCGAAAAATTGTTCATTTTTCTGCACATTCTGCTTCAAAACGAGCATTGTTATTCATTTTTATTTCACATACTTATTTATATAATTTAAATTTAATGTTGTAATGTGTATTTATCTACATTTCGTTATTTCTACTAATATCAATTTCCTGTAACTGAATTATGCATGATATTTAACAGGAAAATCACGATCGTTTTGAGTATTACGTATTGAAAATTCGATGAACGAATAAACATTCCACGAACACCGCCCACAAGCCACAAATGGGCCTTCCCCCAGAAAGCGAGCAAAACAGGTTGCGGAAAAGAAAGGTCTTGATGAACGTGCCTCTCCTCGCCTTGTACTCGCCTTCATGTGGCTCTTAAGGCATTCTCGGAACTGTGTTCGAACGTTATTACAATGTTAATTGGGAAATGTTTTAATGGCTCATTTACAAACCATTACACTAATGACACTAATACAACTCCTCGAAATTGTATTGAACGGGGTAAAGTAAAGGTAAAGTGCCCATTGTATGTAACGTGCCTGAAAATTATGAGAAACAGTGTTATGATGGGACATAAATATGGATAATAGGAGATACTTTATTGTATAATTTTACATCATAAATACATGCATATTTCGAAGAAAATTAGGGTACATAAGTTCGACTCCTATTGTGACAATGTAAAGAAACTAGTTATTTATGTAACAAGGAACAACATAGTGGTGATACAGCATCACATACTTCCTCGCTTTATTTGTAATTGCTCGCATTATTTGCAATACATTAAACCGTCACGAAAACATGACCTGAAAGAACGGACTAAGAAATAAAATGTATTTGCAAACCAAATTCAAATTTTCATAGGTAAAATAATTCAACAATGTATGCGGAGCTTTATTTTTTGCCGTCACGTTATTAATGCGCATACTAAGTCTTCCCAGGGAGCTACTCAAATGTCGGGCATTCTTATGACTCTCATTAATCCCAAGCTTCTCAGAATTACAAAAAAGAATGCTAACATTTAATGTGGAAATACCATCAGAGCGCTACGTTCTGATTCAGCAGGAGCGCCTACAGAAACCAAGAGGTCCAGGACAGTAGATTCACGGAGGCCCTTTACTCAAGCAAACGCTTCACCCCATGTACATGTGTATAAAAGTAAATTACACTTCAGTAGGAGGTTAAATATTTTTTTCAAAAATTATTATTGAAGAAAATGAGTTTGTCTAACCTTTTATAATTACATTTTAAACAGTTTACTTATAACCATTTACTAGCTGAACTTCTCCGATTACGTCACACGAAAGAACTTTAGAAAAGATGCAATAGAAAATTACAACATATGCATTTTTAAGGAAAATAAAAAACGTTAAAACATTGTTTCATATTGTTCAGTACTTACTCTTCTGTAGTAATGAAGTACGAGAGTTTACAAATTCTCGAATAATAAAATGACCGTTGACTAACACCGCTATGATTATCACGTATGGTTATCATCGTGAGCTGATATTTGACTATCAATAAAATGGATATGATACGATCATAATTTTGATAATGTTTTACGTAAAACTCAAAAAATATTAAATTGGTTGAGGCTTCTAGGAAATACTATTGGAGTCAAAAATCGCTTTTCGTTTTTATAAAGAGAGTCTGTTAATAATTGGTTGAGCCTTATCTAGATTGGTAAAACTCAGTGTTTTATGGTATTTCGAAAACAAGGGGAAAGTCCTGTCATTCATCCTCCACAAACATTTCTTTCGGACATCCAGAACCATGAACATTCAGAAAATATTTTGTCTATTCTTTTAAAGAAAACACGCATAAAAATCATATAAGTACGTACTGTAAAATATTCTACATGTAACATTTGGTGCGTTTTATTAGTCTAGGTGTACTTAAAAACGTTAAGTACAATAATAAACGTAAATTAAAAACTTCGAGACAAGTAGATCTTGACAATATTTTTTAAACTTCGTTGTAAATGCGCAAAAAGTACCAGAGGAGATTTCACTATATTTTTCGCTATATTTTTTAAACGTCTTGCTTGGGGCCAACTTGTTCCGATTTCCTCCTTCTGGTTCCCGACGCGCGTGGGGGCAGGCGCTGATCAGCAACTTGAAAGCGCCGCATATCAACTCAACGCCCACCATCTCCACTCAGGCGCATCAGGCTTCGTCAGAGCACGAGTTCTCAAGATTCAAAATTGATTCAGAACTTTTCTGATATCGAAGGTGTTTGTGAGGTCCGTAGTGTGGTATAAAGAGTTAAACAACAAACGGACTGAAATGGGGAAAGTACTGGAAATAAATTAATGTATAAATGATGAAGTAAGCATCTACTAATTTCAAATATATTTTTAAGTAATGTTAAAAACTACATTGAGTGAAGAATTAATAAAACGAATCAATAGACACTAAACGACAGTATGTTTTCAGAAGCGTTTACTAATTTCTGGGAATGTACACAATTAGATGACTACACAAGAATTTCAGAAAAAATGTCCCATTCCTGATGTATCGCATGGTCATTCTGAACATTGACTTGCAATGTTATATGAATGCAACTTAACTGCGCAACTAAGAGGGCTATCAAATCCTTATTTATCTATAATAGTGTTTTGTAAAATATGCACGCCATTTACAATTCTGTCTCATAAATAAACTCCAGCCTGTTTCCTTTTTGGTTAATTTTCTATTTCCAATATCGTGTTCCAAAAGCGCATTCAGTAGCACTCATATTCTCTGGTTATTTATTTTGATTTACTATTTTTAACAAAAACAGTCAATTCTGTTGCTGTCGCTGAACGTCCGTAGTCCACTCTCTCGCACTTCCGTACCGAAGTGAAGTTCCAGGACGTACCGCTAGATCGTAACCCTGGCGGTTCGGCGTGCTTCGTGTCCGCCTCGCTGGACGAGGTTGTTGACAGCAGGAAATGCAGGCGGCGGCGGCCAGGCGTCTATGTGCTTAGTGTAAGGATTAATTTCTACGTTTACTGTGGTCTGCGTAGTAGTGTATTCATCGATTATAATTTATCCCCTTCTATATTCAATAAATGTTTGCACGTCCTTTTAGAGCCGCGTCAAACCACACTCAAAGGTTTGTGGAAACTCAACTTGAAACCTGCCATCCCAAGCAAGTTCTCGCTCCGCGGGCTCAACAAACAAAGATTCTGCCACGTTCACCTCTGTCCGAGGTTTTCTCTTGATTGTGCGAGAGTATCTATTTGTGTTAGTTATGAAAGGAAACTTAACAAAACGTTTACACATTCCACAGCAGCGATGAAGGAAACGGGATGCAATCAGTCTGGTGGGAGGGGATTCGCTGGTCAGCGGGACGCATTCGAGCCAAACGACCTCCTTCACTCCGCAAAAAGGAAGAACACTTCTGCGCATACCCTTGTATTTATGTTATAGAATACAATAATATAATTCGTCAGTTGCCGCATCTGTTATTTCGCTATGCTGTGTTTACGAGAATGCTGATTACAATACAATGCAAAGATTTCTCATGTTTAAAATTCACTCTACATCATTCTTATATTATCACTTCGAAATGTCAGTGAATTATTACGCATTTAGTGAGAATTATGACGTTTAGTACGTTTCATATTTATTTATTTCGTAATAAATTATTGCAGTTCTGTATCTCCAGTAAATATTGTTATATATTTTTATGTAACAAAGTATTATTTTTAATTTTAGAGTGATTAATATTATTATTATTAACTTGATCAGTGTATTGAAATTCACGGTCCCCAAATCAGATAAAAAGTAAGCCTCACTACTACCAAGGGTTTAAACAATTATTTTATCTATAAAGTCTTATTCTTACCACAACTAAGGAAGGTCGAATGGAATTCCAACACATTAAATGAATTATAACATTCAGAATATTACAAACATTTTCCACAAGAATGAAAAAAACGACTGAGTTCAAGGTGTGTTTATTATATAACATTCTCTCCAAAACAGCAGTAGTCAACAAATTTCATATCATTTGAAAAGTAGAACGGGGAGGGGGGGCGGCAGAGCCGTCCCAGAGCGTCACCCCGTCCATGGCACTCGGCGCTCCCCTCCGCACGGCCCGCGCGCGCTGCGCCCGCCACGCCTCTCGCCTCTCGCCTGCACTTGCAACAGTACGTTTAAGCTATCGACATAGTCATTGACACTTTTCTACAGTTGCGAATCGAATCGTCTCTAAAAAGAGAACCTACATATTGTGAGTAGTTATCGTTTTCCATTGGCTGATTGTCTCAAAACCAGATAGCATGTGATCGCTTCCGGGTCGGACAAAGATAGCTGTTACGCAAAACATGGATTTCTTTTCTGTTTTCTTCGCAGCAAGACACACTATCCGTATTTCTATGTCGATAGATTAACACTCATTATTTTGAAGTCATTGTTTTCATAATTCAAAACACAGAAGCTTAAAAAATTTCGTGAGATTTGGAAAGAAACAACTTTTTCTCTCAAGAAGGAAACAAAATTATATCCTAAAATAAATACCATTTAGGTAAAACAATTTAATACTAGTGTGGATTAATAGCGACCACCTCATCTCGAAGTAGCACAACGTTTCTAACATCCACATCAAGCGAAATGCAGTGTTAATTTTATTTGGGAGATTGTACTTGTGAATATCGCAAAAGTTATGTAATGTCGTACTCTGAACGTTTAGACTGAGTACTGGTCAACGAAAGAACCATTCCATCATAATTTAAATATTTATATTTCACGATATGAAAATGAACGAAGATGAGTTTCAGATTTCCTTCCTTGTGCAGCACGTTTTGTGTATATGTGTACACAGAGTGGCTCACTTAAAATGTTCCCTTCGAACAATTATATAGATTTATCGAACATATTCATCTAAGTGCAAAAATTTAGAAATAATTTTTTCATAACAAAGTAATGCAATTATCAAGAGAAATGCAATGATATGATGATGATTGGCTCTGAAACTCAAAACCTTTCCATTTAGTTACAATCTTCTACAAAACACAGCGTTAACAGCATTTAAACGTCTATGAATCTGTCAGTTTTTCCTGTTTCCCAAAAGTTATGTTTTCGGTATCTATTTGCTCGACCAGTCTACAGTTCTGAGTTATTTGAAATACATAAATGACAATTAAAACCATTATGTGGTCAATTGAAAACCTGAAACTAAATTATGTTGTGTAGATTTCTTCCAACAATATAAAGGTCATGGTCAGCTAGGCAAACGTTCGGTAGGTTGAACATGGAGCAAGGAACATTATGGATCTATTTGTCAGGAAATTTATATTTCACCAAGCAATTAATTTTCCACATAGAATGAGAATGCATATCATATATCATTTCTTACTGTACTATAAAGCTGCAGTTATCAATAATTGTCTTCTAATAATTTTCAGTAACTTCCTTAGCACTCAAATTACTATTTATATGAAATAATGATTGAAAACATGGAAAATGGCAAAATATTGAAGTCAAATGCACACGTATGAACATTTACACTATTCATTTACATAATTTACTCGACTGCTTGTATTGTTGTTTTACGCCCTGTCATTTGCATTACTTACAGTACGTTGGAGAAGAGAAGCGTTTACAGTAACTGATAGATGGGTTTGAACAGCGCCCACTCCAGATCTCCAGATCGTTTAAATGTTCGCCAACACACTAACAGTTGAAACTAGTTTGCCTACAAGCATTCTAATCGCTATCTAATCGTCTTCCTACACGAAATGGTGAGAGACTTCGAGGCCAAACACGCCTCCTGAAATAAATGTTTATTTTTCTTTAGTGTTTAAGAATATTACCTACAAGTCCCAAGAATATCACCTCCGATTCTTTTCTCATATTTCACTCAAAACTGCGTAAAAATTACTAATAGACTCCTCCAAACTATACAGTGATTGTTATATTTATTCATTTCGTTTGAGATCAGTGACAGCGAATGAAAAACCAGCAAACATGCTGTGGCTTTATTATTGAAACGACTGTACCTAATGCTTGCGTATAATTATTATACTTCTTCTAAAGCAATTGGAATGCCTTAGGACTTTTTAACTCGAATTTACAATTTTCTTATCGACATCTCCGCCTATTGCTACTTCTCAAACTTCCCATTTGGTTACCAGTTGTACTTCACAAGACGACATGAGGTTTTATGAGAATACAGTGATTACCGGACTCTGAAAAAATAACAAATGCTGGAACGCGCTGAACATCACCAAGTTGTTCAAAATGGATGCAAGAAAATTAGTGTAACAAAAATGTAACATCGTGCTTTTTTAAGACGGAAGATTTACCACGATTTAAATTAACTGTGAACTTGGCAAAAACATGAAGATATTGATGATAGGATATTACGTTCTCAGTTGTTCGAAACAAATAGAAAAACAAACAAAAAAATAATTTTGCAAATTTACATTTAGTAATAATTATATATTACTTTATTCGTAGTGAAAACAGTAATAACAAGTCATAATACCTATGCTTAAAAGATATTACTATATAAGTAATATTACATTAATATGTATTTTCCTTGAGAAGAGCCATGGCCACTAGAAGTGGACCTCTCTCCCCAACCATGATTATGCCTTTGAATCTGAAGTGCCTTTCTTATAATCATATTTCTTGTTGGGAGTGTCTGTCCGTCTTCTGTCCGTTAGCGTTTTCCTAATGCCTGCAGGAATGGCAGATGGTCTACTGTGTCGCCAAACAATTGGCATCACCAATGGGCGAACGACGATAAAGTTTATAAAAGATCTTCCGCTGCTCAAATATTGCGAGATTTTTTATTCCGTTATTAAAACTTGTAAACTGGTTATCATTATCTCACACATACACCGCCTCCCTCCTCCCTTTTTTATTCTGAAGTATCCCCAAATTACTAAATATTTTGGAGAAACTTCAGAACTTACCTATAATGTAATATGTTTGGGTCGTTAAAGTCATTATAAATAAAATGCTATTAAATACTAATGTTTTTAATATTTACTGAGGTTAAACTCAAATTTGAAAGACCTAGTAATACAGCAGTAGGCTATACGTTCTGCCCTTCTCCTTTTTATCATCATCATCATCATCATCATCATATTATTATTATTATTATTATTATTATTATTATTATTATTATTATTATTATTATTATTATTATTAATCGCATTCATTATTATTCGCAAGTAAGACCCATGAAAAATGTTTATGCAAAAATGGTTGTGACGTTTTCCACGAAACCATCAATAATAAAAGCAGATAAAAACATGAATAGGAATGGGGGCAGAAAAAATATACTTGGCTATTGTTGCCGTCCCCATAAAGTAAAGGCTAAAATGCAACTTATGAAAATGTTTCTATCGCATGGACATGTGTACTGAAAAGCGATATACGGTATTCATTTTATCGGTTATCATTTTTATACAATTAATTTATTACTTGCTCTCTTTCATTATATTGAGTTATTTTCAAAATGGCTCAACCCAGGACATACAGACCTGCTCTTGAATGAAACTTAATTGACAATTAGCTTCAATGTAAAGAAATATTTCTGCTTTTGGAAAGAATTAATAGATGAAGGGACTCGTGCCACTCACATCTTTTTGTTATTTAAAGTCGCATCAACATTTAGGGCATTAGCAACCACTATTGCATTTAACTGTATGGTAACTGTGAAGATAACATGATATGGTAACGATAGGGTGTGAAAGGACAAACACAAATATGACCATGCCCGAGGCGATCCTTCGGTCCGAGATCACTACGGCACTACTGCCTTAACGATCTCTGTCATCCGAACTAGCTACTCACATTATTGTTACATCATGAGTGGCAAATTATTGGAAGTAAGTGAATTCCATTTATATTACCGTTCTATATTTTTAAACTGTTTATAAGAGAACTTTTAATATTTAAAGATGCTAATTATCATTAACATAAAATATTTATAAGTATAATTATATTTTATTGAGTTATTGTGTGTTCATAGGTGGGTAAGGTCGCAGTTGCAATATCAAAGCAGATGCAAAAACTATAACAAAAACATCGCAGCTCACTTGAAAAGAATGTTCTCTTTTACTGGAGTTAACACATTATAATATAACAATTTATAATATAATCATTATACTCTTCGTCTCTGATTGTAAAATGCTTTAAGGATTTCTTACTGAAAATTCCCTAATAATAATAATTCTAGATATTTCCTCACATTCCTCACATATTTATACAATTCTTATCAGTATTGCATGACTATGTTAAAGTGATTTAATAGGTAATCTGTACTGCTTGTTTGTCTATTAAGAATTCAAATATATGCCTAATGGAAAAGTGTTGAAGTTAATCTAGAGAGTTCTAATTACATACATACGCCAATAAAGTTTTTTGAATGTAGTACTTTTTATTACTATAAGTGTTTATATAAACACATTAATACATTTATGTCAGAAAAAATAAGACCACCAGAGAAAGTGTCCGTCACGTAACAATGAACTAGTACATAATTAGTTACATCTCGTTGCTAATATTACTCATTTTATTTAAGTGCCACTATTTCGTTTTTGATACTTTCAAGCATTATTAACACGAGAAATAATACATTGTTAGTACTTCCATTCTAAATGCGTAATTAACACAAGTTTGTTAAAATATCACTTTTACGATTACATTTTTAATCGAACAAAACACTCGTTAATTCCATTAGTCGAAAGCATTGATGTATTATTTAGGTTAGTTGTGCACTGAACTCACGCTCGTTTACGGATGAGAGGTTTTACTCTAAAGAAAACAAGACAGAAGGATAATCGCTTAACAAAAAACAAAAAAAGACTTCCATGGGAGAGAGCCTGACCTGACTGACGAGGAAAACAAATGTGTAAATTCTGTAACTGGGGGCCGGTCGGATTCATAATATTCATTGTAGTTTCAAACGTTGATTGTTCTGAGCGGAAGTGGTTCAAACGCCACATTAAAAATTCAGTCCTTGCCGTTACGTAAATTAAACAATAAAGAGTATTTCCTCGTAAAAGAAGCGTGATACCATCTTTCTTGGCCAAAGAAATTGTACAGGCCGACAAGGAGCGATAGGTCAAAGGGATTTCGTACAGCCGCTAATGTTGATGAGGCCATGCAATTGTATATTCATATCTTGGAAACAACTCTGATCGATTCCACTCCTTGACGATGATTTGGCGGGCGAACGCACGGAGATTGCGCTTCCGATTGACAAACAGGAAAATCGTGCCTTTTTTAAAAGTGTGGAGAAGACAGGTTGATAATAGCCATCAAGTAAAACATCAGTTGTACGTTCTCGAAATGTTGCGAACAAAATATTAAATTGCTACTCTATTTTTCGAAATGGTATCGAATCAAGAAATATATTTTTGAAGAAATGTAACAATATATAACGTATTAAGAGCATTAAAACAGCAGCTCACCCAATCATAGGCGTATCAATTAAAAGAATACCTACTAGCAGACGTCTTGCATAATGGGAAATTGGTCATACTAGTTATTTTGTTATTGTTCAGTTTGGGATTTTCAATCTCAAGAACGGTGTAATTCACTCGAAGAAAAAATGTGCTTTGTTGTTACATGTCATTGTATTGGCAGTAAGATACTTCAGTATTTTTCTCTTCCCTTTTGACACGAGTTAGCGCATTGTACAAGATTAGATAAAAACTTCTTTTTGATCATCATATTTGCTGTTGCACTCGCTTCTTCGTACTTTCAAACTGCATTACATGAAATGCTTAACGTTTTGTGAAAGAAAGAACCAACGACCAAATTGAACAATGAAGCTTTCTGCATTGTCGTCCACGCACATCATAATATCAACATATGGGATGGTCTTAATGCTTCCCACGTCTTCGGAGGAATCGCCTCCATATTATTTCAGTTGTATAGATACGCTTTGCGGCTCTCACACGCAACCAATCTTTATCAATGAGGTCTCTAAGAAAAATAATTTTACGTAAAAGTGGCGAATTGCAGTTTGAGTTTAAAAATATTAAGGATATGTTGAAAAAAGTATCTAAGTATTAACTTTAATGCAACCCGCAGCACATTGTTAAATGTATAAAGGGAAATAACTCCGAAATAAAGAATGCTAGAGATTTAAAACCTATAATTGTGAGTCCAAAGGTTTCATAGAAACATTCCTTTTTGGATGAGATCGTCGTGGACATTTTGTTACATTTTTACTAGTTTGCCGCTTCTCAATACTACCCCACTTATCCGCAGATGTGCAGAATCTGCAGCTATGTGTGAAATAAACTAATTACTTGATATAATGCATGACTGAATGGCACGTATGTTCCTGTTTGGTATAAAGTTCATTAACATTGCAAAGAGTAGGATCGTTCTCGCCCAATCCTGTTTTTACTTTCTTGTACTTACAAACGTAAGAAAAAGTGTTGTAATCGTGCACCGAAAAACGCCTAATTTTCGACACAAAAACTCTTTATTGCCTGGACCTGGTAAGGAAAAAGTGGGTAAATCCAGTGGCTAAATAGAGAAAAACACCTCTAACACGTGGTGTGGCCAGAGTTCAAGTTTTGTGCGCCCTTCATACCGAAAAATCGATTTTTTTCTTTAAATTTTCTTCACTTGTGTAATAAGATGCTATAAAAAATATACTAGTTACATTTTCGGGTATTGAAAAATTCAGTTTTTGAAAATTTATTTAAAAAATTTTAACTACAAAATTGAAGATAAAGATTTTTTCATCCAACAAAGTCTATTGTACAAAATTAGTTCTTTAAAAAAGGTTACACACAATATTTTGCAAAAACCACTAGTTTTTAATTCGCGATTGAAATTTACAAAAACCAAAATCTCAAAAACAGCTCCAAATTTTGTCTTTAAATGTTCTTCACGTATGTAATAAGAAACGGTAAGAAATATGGCACTAGTCTTATTTTCGGGTATTGCTTGATTTTTTTTCGAAAACTGCCAAATCATTTCAAAACTGTAAAATTGAAGATAAGATATTTTTGCCTCAAAGTTCGTTATACAAAATAATCTCTTTAAAAAAGGTCATGTACAATTTTGGCCTGTACAACACTGTCTGTCTCTCTCTCTCCCGTCTCTCCCTATTCGTCTCTCTCTCCCTCTCTCTTTCTTCTCTTCCTCTCTCAGTCTTTCTCTCCGTCCCTCTCTCTCCGTCCCTCTCTCCGTCTCTGTCTCTCTATCTCTTCTGTCTCTGTGTGTCTCTCTGTCTGTCTCTCTCATACATATTAAGTTGCAGATTCTGAACGTTTCTGAGCAGGTGGGGTAATATTGAAAAGAACGGGACCAACAAAAATGTTCACGCACATCTCATCCCGTAGATTTCGGTGAGAAACGTTTCTTTCGTGCCTTTGGCCTAAAAATTGAAATTCTGAATGCTCTAGAATGCTTCGTTTAGGAGTTATTTAACGATATAGAGTCTAAAAATTCTGTCGAGTTAAGCAGGATGCATTTGACATAAATATTATTTTTTTCGTGAATTTTCTCGATATTTTAATAATTATTCTGCTATTCGGTACTGAGATGAATCCAACAAATCCGAAATAATTAAAATTGGCTCAGCCGTTCTTGAGTTATAAATGGTGTAACTAAACAGACTTTGATTTATTTATGTAGATTTTTTTCAAACATCAATTGCGTTGACTATTATTTTTATTTGATATTCTGTAAGTACATTGGACGTTACTTTTATACACCTTTTTATACATTTTTTAAACGATCAAAGTCGTTTCGTAAACGATTTTGCCTCTTAAAATTGAAATGGAAGGACAGGGAAGGAGAGAGCAAGCGTTTCCGCACGGGTGGCTAGCAATAGCAATAATTCTCACTTTGCAATCGAGTATACAAATTGATTATTGATGGTTTCAAGTAAAACCTCCTAACATTGTGCACAACATTTCTTTGAGTATATAACATTCTCCTTTGTTCCTCAGTCATTTTTACTTCCCACACAGGAAACAATAGGTTTTGAAATTGACGTAACTATTATGTGATCTAAGATCTGTTAGTCTACCAGGGTGAGACTGCTAACTGAAACACAAATCAATTTTCAATTAATTTACTTCGCACAAAAAATCGTCCCACAAGAACAAATTTTGAATTGACTTAACTCCTTTGTTTTTTACCGTGATAACTCCACCTTTGTCCTACCTCCCTCACATGTGAAGTACCTACCCAATATACCTACCTAAACATTATTTATTGCGAAACTCGCCTTCAAAAATGATCGAGAGGGAAACGAGCAATGCAGAAGCGCTGGTATGAGTGATAAAGATGATGCGCCGCGGACGAGATTTAAAATTTCAAAATCTGTTGTAGATAATAATTTTTCATCAAATAAATATATTTAGAAAATTATGAAACACGTCGTGGAAGCATAATGCGGATTTTATTCTTGGAGCAGAAACAACAATGTTGTACGTGAGATTTGCTTAAGTAATAATAATAATAAATAATAATAATATTAATACTATCATTATTAAGAAGAAGAAGAAGAAGAAGAAGAAGAAGAAACGAACGTCAAGTGGTTTTAATGACAGTTAATCGTGTTAGTTGGTAGAACGCATACACTACTGCCAATATTTCTAGAACTTTCAAACGTGTTTAAGCTTGGTAAATATTAAAAACACTTGTATTTAATCGCTTTTTATTTATCATGATCTTAGGGACCCAAAAATACTACACTTGAAAGAGCTTTATTAATTTGGGAAAACTTCAGAATAAAAAGGAAAATTATAAAACCTCGTAGCTCTCTTACCATACTATTTGGCTTCCGAAATGTTTTTCGAAGTCTTTCTTGGTGGAAAACTTAAGTTTTTTTATTAATAACAATATAAACAAAATAAGAAAATAAAATATTATACTTCACGTTTTGCGAGGTAAAATGACTTATCGACTGCACTATATTTTTTAATAATAATTTTCTGGAAGGATCCAGAAAATGTACTTAGAAAACCGACACGTGTCAAAACACATCGTATTTGCCGCCAATGACGGATCTGAAATGTTCTAACAGTGTGCAAACGGAATGAGGGCGGACACACGCAGACTACCCGATTAATATACCATTCCAAATCCATTACCAATTCCAAAAGTACGAGTCCTTCCAATGCCTCCTGAAACATTCTGTGTATGCGAGAAATATCGTCTCGCAGTTCAATATGACAATAGAAGCTCTGTATTGTATCATATTATGAAATCTAGCGAAAAACGCTCGTTGCTCTTCATTCAACTTAATATAAGAAGTGGGATCGCAGTTGGAGAAGAAGTGCAAATGAAAAGGCTCAAGCGGCTCACCTCGTGTCAGCTCGCGGGCGTCGTGGCCGGGCGGCGTGCGTGGTGGGCGCGGGGGATCTCGACAGGCGGCCCGCGCGAGCGCCTCTGAGCCGATCGTCCCGCCGCCGCTGCGCGCGCCATGGCGTCGTTCTCGGCCGCCTTTCCGGTCACGTGGCGTGCGGCGCCGCGCTGGCCGCTCCCCGAGCACGCTGCGAAACCACCCCGGTCAACCCCGGTCAACGCGACCATTTCCATAACGCAGCGTCACCACCCCGCGCGGAGGGTGGCGGGCGCGGCGGCGCCCGACTGGCTGACGAGCGCCAGGGCCAAGCGCCGAGCGTTGGAGTGTCGCTGGCAGCTCTCTCATCGCAGGAGCAAGCGCTCGGCCTTTGGGCGCCCGGTCCGGGTTCGCTTCCTCACGAGGGTGCTTTTCATAAAGAAATAAGTGTAGAATCTCCTGGATCTCTGGATGTGAAAGTCGAATAATGAAAAGAAAGGGGTTCATTTTTCGATTTACACTCTCGTCTAAAGCACGCCTGGAAGGGATATCATGTCCATTACATTCGAATTTTAGCTGTAATATTAAGGACTATTTAGACATGATCAGCAACCGATTGGAATATTCACACAATCTTCCTCGTAAATGATCACAAAATACATTGAAGAATTCATGTAAGCCAACTGGTGTTTGTTCTCGAAATCCATGGCTTCTTTGCCGATCTTGGAGCGCAAAACACCACAGGATCGCGTTGTAAACACAAGGGATTCTGGCTCCATATTGCTTTGGAGGAGTACCTATATCTAACTAAAACAATTTGTCACATTCTCTCACTTTAGGTTTGCATTCATGTGGAATGATGTTTCAATTTATCGTATTTTACGTACGTATATAGGGACTACATACGTAGTTTAGAGGAAATTATGTAATGCTGCGGCCAAAACCGACAATTTTTTCTAACAGTAAAACTCGTATTGTTGAGCCCTAATACGGAAAAAGTGGATAAATTCTGCTCTAATATGTAATTAAATACTATCTCAAACTTATTACGTATTCAGATTTCACTAATACCGAACAGCTGTTTTTTTCTCAAAATGTCCGTCCGTGTGTATGTGGACGACACTAGTGCCTTGACTTCCTACTTCCTTTTTTCTGAAGTGAATATTCCCGAATCGATCTGGCTCCACTCTGCGTGTTTGAAAAACATTCCTTAAATTTTGGGGGTACTTTACATGAAGTTCTTTGAACATTTACCAAAATTTATTAAAAATTGTTCCAATTGTTTTTGTAAGAATACGATGAAATAAAGTGATGAAGATAGCGTAGGCCCGAATTTCACGGTTAACTCTGAATTTTGAAAAATGGACAAATTTGAAATGTTTTCGGTGTCTTCCTCCCCCTACGAATTAAGAAATAAAGATTTTTCCTTCAAATAAAATTTGTTCTTCATAAATAGTGCTTTCATTAATTTAACGTAATTTTTTTGTAAATTTTGGTAGTTTTCACCCAATATTGCATTAAATATGTGCAATATTAAAGAATATTTTAAAAAATATAAAAAACGGCTCCAATTTTTTCCTTTCAACTTTTGGTAGGGATAGTGATAAATATACTGAATAAGGCGGCATAAACGTTATTTTGCTCCGTTCTTTTGTTGCGTTTTAAAACAATTACACATTTTTAATTTCGTAGACATCTCTCTTCTCTCTCTCGAGTCGTTTTTATTTACATTAACAGCGATTTGTATCCATTATTGCATTTATCAGTACTTGGGCATCAAATTATATCTTATAAAGTCTCTCGATAACTCAAATGTTTTCTGTAAAAATTAACTCAAAATTCGGCATGTCCAGAAACGCTCAAATGCCATATTCTCAAAAAAGACTCCAATATTTTCCTTCAAACATTTGTATGAATAGTGCTAAATGCATTGCATAAGATGACATGAGAGTCATTTTTCTCTATTCTTTTCTTTATTCAAAATGTGCGCATATGATTTTTTTGAAATGCTTCTCACCTGTTAATATGAACATTCCCAGCCATTTTGTGTACGGTATTGCGTTTGTGGGTAGAAGTGTTTCAAATGACTTCCAACGAAGCTTCAAATTTCGCATTGATGAGAAAGCTTAAACGACATTTTCGTAAAAATGGCTCCAAATTTTGCAACTACAATTTCCCTGTAGGACGAGGTTTCAATCTTACATAATATTCTTGAAGTAATATGTTGGTTCCACCATTAGAAAAATTGATATTTAAAAAAAATGTAATTGTGCAGCCGTAGATGGCCGCTGGCAAGAGGATGGGACAAGACCCAACAGCTAGCCTAGAGCAAAGAAATTATAAAACTAACTAGAGCGAGAAAGTCGGCACCATTCTGAAGCACTACTACTTCCAGCTGTGATGTTGACGTGGGAGTCACGGGCCGCATTCAAGTGAGAATGAGAAACAGGCGACGTTATTTTCAAAATCATTTCATTTTAAGCACTTGCCTTTAGCTTTGTAGGTTTTATGTCTTTCTGAAATGTAGGGAAAATTGTGCATCGTCCGTTCGATATTCATTGTCATCGTCATTTCACCTTCCATCCCCCAGGACAAGCTACCCAGAGGGCTAAAGTCGGATTCAGTTCCGTGCTGATCCCCCAAGGAGGAGTTGCCACGGGGTGAATTATACTGAGCCTCGGGAAGTTCAGGTGCGCATCCGCGCGATCAGAGACGGCCAATTCACGGCCAAAAATTTTATGTTTAATTTCCAAACAAAATATTGAATCGTGATACAGTCGCTAGTGAACGTATTTTAATTTTATTTTCATAGTTGTAAGTGCAGCCAGCTTAGCATGTGGATTTTTTAGCATGCAGTGATTTTTTAGTGTGCAGTTTGGTCATTCTTAGTTTCAAGTGCTAAGGCAAGTTTTCCTCGTGTAGTTCCCGTGATAATTTTCAGCATCGACATCGTAGATCGCTCGCTGGATCTCATGAGAAATTCGAATCCACAATCTTTGAGAAACTACTACGTCACTGAGGCCTTTTCGGGGTTAGTAACTACAAATGGCCGATCACGAGCTAAAAGAACAAAGCAAAGAACGTGCGGCTTCGGTCAATGGCATATTCTTAACGGATATCACAAACCTTCGGTTCTTCTCTTTCATTGACAAAACCACCGTCTGCATTTGTTTCTTGCAACGTAATGCTTTCTTCATGTGTACTAAATATCCACAGCTCAGCAAAAATGCCTTAAGCAATCTAAGAACACGTGCAACTCTCGACTTTCAGTACTTAATGTGACGGATATTTGGCAGATACTATTTTCTAATACTGAGAAAACAACTATGAATGGATTCGAGTGTTGACAGTATGTCATACATGCAGAGTACAAAAAGTCACCTAATAATCAGTCTCACATGTATTGAACAACTTGTGAACCTTCCTTTTTATTAATATTTAGCTGACATTCCTGATTCGTCACCACCCCTTCCCGATCGGGATATCATTTGCTTCCTTCAATTTTCTCATTAATATAAACGGGCGTGAAGTACGATATCGCTACTCTGACGTTTGTCTTCACTTATTGAAAGTCTACTTCTAAAAACAATGTTACGAACTTTACATTATCAAATTGTTTACTAAGCCAATTCGTAGTCGTCTGTAATTTGTTCACAAAACTTCACGCAGCGCTTTAAATAAAATGATTGCTGAAGAACACGAGAATGAGCGTGTGAATTCTAGGCGTGCCCAAGAAGTAAGTTAATTTTAAAACTATATTAAATTCAAACCTTTTCTTCTGGTCTAATTGGTTTTACCTCTTTTTCTAGTGAACACAACAGGTGTAGGTCCAAGATACCTGTTTAAACAAAAGAATACTGGCGTATTCGTGCGAGAACTCTCTCGTGTTAGATTACAAACTCTTCTCTAGCTTTCCTTTTCCACATTAAAAGGGGAAGTTGTTAACAAAACTTGTTTATTTGCAAAACAGCATTTGAAATAATTATACAATCTACCTTGACAAATAGCATTTCGCTTTCCTTCATATTCGCAAAAATATTACAAAAGCTATCTACTCTCGAGAAAGCTACTTTAAGCTGCCCATGCGAAAATATAGGATCGGGCAAGCATAACCTTACACTTCGGAATATTACTTAACTTTATAACCGAACTGAGAGGTATACCCGTGCAATTTAAGAATAGAATATCAAGGATTTAGTTTTCTTTCTCATATAGTTGTTGATTCTTTATGTTACACACTCCGCTGGTTCTATAGATACGGTAGATTATATCACAAACGTATCACAGAAAAAAATTGTCAATACTTCCATTTGATAAATTAACGGTTGCACTATACACATAAAAAGTATTATCGGTATCAAGCAACTATTATAACTTCTTGTTGATGCGAGAGCTGTTAGATTTATTTGCATAATCTTGAATTAAAGATTATGCAAATAAACCTCATCAGTCGGTGCACACCATGGTGTACACAGATAGCATTCATTCAAGTTGGAGAACTCTAAGCCTTCTAAGCGTGATGTCACAACGCTCATCTCCAGCGCCGAGAAATATAGTTGGTATTGAATATTATCGATAAGCGCCGGACCAGCAAAAATACAATAAAATATCCAAGAATGTCGTATCCTGTAGATTACCGAGTAAGAAACGTTTCCTAGTGGCCATTGACCTCACAATTTCACGTTTTGAGGCTCTAAACCGCTTCGTTTAGTAGCTTCGTGTAGTAGGACTATATAAACTTTTGCCATGCTGCCGAGCTTGCAGGTGGCATTTGTAATGAATATTAAGATGCGGTTTTTAAACAAATATTTCACATTTTTAAAACCAAAATTCAATTTGTTCTACGTGAACTTATCCTTCTTTGGAGACCTCATTTCTAAATATTGGTTTCCTGTCGGAGTAGCAAAAGGTGAAAGATAATTCATTTTATTTTAGTATATTCTGTAAAAAACATGGACGATGAAGGAAAGTATCTCTGAATCATCACCAGTAGATATTTTGAAACTGAAGGTATTATCTAATACGTACATTATGAAATATTATTTACTTTTTTCAGTACCTTCTAAATCATCACAAAGTTTCAGCCGTACCCATCGAAGTTAAAGGAATATTAAATTAATTCAAATACCTGAATAGTATGTACAAATAAATTTGTCTTGTGGCGTGGCGCCAAATCTTCTACAACACTTCACTAGTACACCACTTACCCCAAAAGCAAAAAGAAAAAAGTGATAGCTGTTGTTCGTGAAGTTGGCCAGCAATCGAAGAAATTCACAACAAAATATCTTGTTCGTTCAGTTGAAAACAGAGGCACTTTGGGGGGAAATGTACGAAAAATTTTGAAGCCAAATTGCTGGAATTTTGAACAGAATATTTGTATCAACAGAAACTAAAACAAAAGATTTGTTGCCAAGGAAGTTGAAACGAGTGAACATTAAATATAACAATTGAATAAAACAATGTAGTTTAGTGTTAAAAATTGTATCACTTAAAGTCAATAGTATATTATGGTTAACATTTACACTTTAAACTATTAGTTTAAAGTATGACAGAGAAAATAAACTTGACCTGGCAAAGTTCGCATTCTGCTTATACTCCGCATCTCTTAATTATTCTTATTAAACATTGACAGTTTTGTACTTATTTCTTTAAGGCCAAAACAGTTAAAAACTGTGTGACACGCTGTGGGGAGAAGCGTATTATGTATGTAATTGTTTCTATTATGACTTCAATTTTGATTATAAAAAAAGCTCTTCTGAAGAAAACATATCCAAACGAGAAAAGTCCCTTGATAAGAATTGATTATTCTGTGATTAATTTTAATTATCAAACAATTGGTTTGAAAATGAATCATCTAGTAAAAAAAGCGTTGACCTATATTTTATATTAAGCTACTTCTTCCCAACGAAATTTTAAAACAACACAGTATATTTTTATTTTATACCATTATCTCAACTATCTTGTGTGTTTGGGTATTATTGTGTGCTAGATGTCGATATATCCAAGTTCTCTAAAGCGTTGTACGATCTTCGCTGTCCTTAGCTGCTCTATGCTTGTCGGAGATGGAGACCGGTGTAAAGCAAACGGTGGTTGGTTCGGGGCATTAGCAGCTAAGGTACAACGGTGTGGCTATATCTAGAAACTATGATGTTATAGAATGGCACAGACTTTATCGTATTAGTTTTGTACTTTCTTTGATCTCGGCTTGCCGTTTTGACTCACCCCATCCTCTTCCCAGCTGCCATCTATAGCTTTCCATAGTATATTTTTTGGGGAAAGTTTCTAAATATTTCTGTTATTATTGGAAGAAGAATAAAACTTCATCCTAAATGGCAATTTTCATTGACTTTTTATAAACTGTTTATAAGAAATTGGAGTTGCCGCCATTTGGACATTGGGTCCACTTTTCAAGAAAACTATTGAGTTTTCTAAAAGATTCATATGAAATCATTTCAAGCGCTTTTAGTCACAAATGCAATAAAATTTACAAATCGTTGGAAATGTGCATATTTACGATGAGAGAGATCTTTCAAAAAATTATATTTGTGTATTTTTTTTCAAAAACCGAAACAATGAACACAAACACAACCGAAACAGCAAAATGAACTTTACATCATATTAAAGAGGGCTATTAGCACTATCCATTGGAAAAGTTTCAAGAAAAAGTTCGAGCCGTTTTTGAGAAAAAGGCTTGTGAGCGTTTCTGAAAATTCGAAATTGTGAGCTCATTTTAACAAAAAATTGTTGAGCTTTCAAGAAACTTTATGTGATATTATTCAAAGACCTTTTACTTATAAATATATTGTTAACATATTGCTGGTAATGCAAATATTAACGTTTTGAGATACAAGTAAAAAGTATATTTTTGTAATTTTGGAAAATACAAAAGAATAGAGGAATATGGCGTTCATGTCATCTTATAGAGTGCATTTAGAACTATCCATGACAAAAATTTAGAGAAAAAATTGGAACCGTTTTTGAGAGAATCTTGTTTTTGTATTTTTTTTTAAATTTAAGCACAGAACTTCTCGTATTAGTTTTCTATTTACTTTCGTCTCAGCTAGTTATTTGACCTGCCACATCTATCACCTTCTATCGATACCTGCCACACACATCTATCGCCGCACAAAGTACAATTTTTAAATTTTCTTAATTTTTCGGTGTTCTAATAGTAGAAAGGAAATCTTATTTGAAGAATATTAAATAACAGCAAAACCCAGTACTAAATGATAAAAATACTCTCTTTGAAAAACTTCAATCCATTTTTTAAGAAAATGGTGCTTAAGCGCTTCTGTAAATTCGATATTTAAAGCTCTTTTTTCCCAAAAAGTGTGTGAGTTTCCCAAAAACTTAATATGAAGTCATTTAAAGAAGTTTAACTAACAAATATAATAATGGTTACAAATTGCAGGAAATGTGTATATTAACGGCGTAAAAAATACATTAGTATAATATTCGAATAAAACTATTTTCAAAACAGAAAAAATTAAGCCACTTTTTAAAAAAGGGAATAAAAATTAAATTCAAAATTATTGACCAACTTCTGTTTTGTTAGGTTTCTCAAAAATATTAGAGAGGCTTTTCTATATGCGAATGGAAATTTTTCTCAGGAAAAACGAAGCGTTTTCAGACTCGAAACATAGGTTTAGAAAATTAAAATCTACGGAAACTAAGTTTCAAATTGGTTTTGTAATAATAAAATAATTTTTAACAAAGGAAAAACAGTTTCAATGCATTTTTGCATTTCAAATCAGCAATCGCATGATATATTGAAAATGAACAGTATGCAATTAGCTGATGTTCAGGTAACAAAATTTCTAGGTCTCTGAATTAAGTCAAACCTCAAATGCCATGTACATATAACAGAATTGAACAATAAATTAAGTTCATTATGTTATACATTCACAATTATTTCAAATACTGTCAGCCCCACGCAGCTCGTTGCGTGTATTTTGCAATTGTGTATTTCCCCCTCAGATATGGCATAATATTCTGGGAAAGCTTATCATGAAGTACCCAAACCACTAGATTGCAAAAGAAAATTATTCTAATAATGAAAAAATGGCATCTGCATGACCCCTGCAAGCCTCTCTTTATTGCCTATTTAGTTAAGAATCTGTAATATTTGTCAAAACTGACTTACTTATCGATGGGGACATATTTTCATACAATACTGATATTTATAATTACAACACACGTGGTAGAAATCACGTTCATCATATGTCAGTATCAAGAGCTCGCTACCAGAAATCACCATACAATACATGTACGTTACTTTACAACGCATTGTCAAATGACATTAAACAATTGAAGTCGGTACACAAAGTTAAGTTAATGAAAAAAAGGTAATTAAAAATAAAAATAGTGTTTATTTTAATAAAACAGTGATATATTAAATTAGTTTACATTTGTATTGTATATTTTTTAAAGACTTATTATGTTTGTAACAAATAATGTACTTCAGCTTCCGGGTGAATGACCCCCATCTCGATCAGGGTTTTGTCCAGTTTCCCAGATACACTGAGTAAATGCTGAGATGGGCCCTTGTTTTGCGTAATGTATCTTCACTATGAAGTGGTAGGAGTAGGGGTAAAGACGACTCACTTTTTTAATAGAAATCGATTTTCAGGTTTAAAAATACGTGTTTCCTCTGCATTTCTCTTAACCATAATTGGAACTGCACTAATAAACCTTAATCCTTATGGTACCATATTTTTTCTTCTTTCTGTTTCTATTAATATTGTGGCTAATTCAAGTATAGTTTTTTTTAGTTTTTGCTTGGAAATGAGAATGCACGCAGAATACAGCTCACAATCATTTTAAAACCTTAATGCGCACCCACTCTATAACGTATTTATATAAGTACATAATGGAGAACTTCATGCAATGCTGCAAGGCAAAGTATCGGTCTCTGGTACCATATACCAAAATAGTGTATTAGGACACTAAACAATGTTATGTAATCATGCGCCGGGAATCGGTGACTTTTCGGCAGAAAAACTCTTGTAATATATCTATAACAGCTGAGAAGTGTGTAAAGAATGAAGAGACAAGAGCACTAACTAGTACGAGAAAGTCATGGTGCCACCACTGGACATTTTATGCCAACACCCAAAGGCCGAAAGAAATTTAATAGCAAAGAAAAGCAGGTTAAGTAATTTTCTGCTTGCTCACATCAAAAAACCGCTGTCTTTGGCGTGATAGAAAGAATACTTCCGTCATATGCCAGAAGGCTCCGAGGTTATTTCCCCAGGTCGCTTCTGGGTGGCGCGTGGGAAAGGTATTTGACTACAAAGACATCACTTGCCCGTCGCCGCCCAACCGTATAATGAAATAGGGTAAAGGAAAGTTGCGGTTCAAGGTCATTGGAGTACTTGTCATATTATGTGGAGATAATACTACGGATGTGGTGAGATAAAATATTTTTGAATACTCTACTTACTAATTTTCTTTACATTAAAATTATGTAACAATGATGTAAAACAAAATATAATGAGGAAGAAGCCAGGTAAACACAATTGAAATTTGATGAAATAATGGCAATTAGTATAATCACTCTTTCTCAGGTTATGCTACTAATTTCATTTTTCTAAACGAAGCTATAAAGTTTGCAGAAAATTGCAGAAAATGCAGAAAATTTGCAGAAAATTCGTAACAAAGTACGAGTAGCACTTCTTGAGGGATGGAAACTTGAGGTGTTTTCTCTCTCTTACCGTACCTCATTGAACAAGAGCCTATTTGATTTTATTTATTTTCGTCAAAGTACAGCAAACACTACGAGAATTTTACGGGAGAAATACAATTTATTTTCTTTCAAATTTATTTATTTTCTGGAGCTTCAGGTTCTCTTTCCCATCCTTAAAAGTACCATGAAAGCTAGGTTAGTATCATTTAAAAACAAGATATTTTCGCTCCCGAATTACAAAAAAACTTATTTGTATCGGTAAATAAACTACAGAATTGATTTTTTGGTATTGTTTATAAAATAGTAACCCAAACCCTCGGCTCTATTTCTATCAAAATTGGCAAAGGAGAGCTCAACAAAAAGTGTGAATAGTGAAGCTACATTGGCAGAAGCCAAACAAAGTTCCACCTCAACATCTGCTCAAGGGATCAGTGAAACTGGAGAAAACCTTATCAAAATGGGGTCTTTGACCCGGATATAAAGTACATTGCATGTTATAGTCATACGTTTTAAAACTATGCAATACAAATGAAGTCTAAAGCATTATTAAAGCCAAAGTCATTGTTTAAATAAATATTTGTATTATTGATATAGCTAGTATCGCCTCCTATATTATTTCAGTAGTACACATAGTATGTTAAAAAAATACGCGGGCTATTTGAATTGCTCGTCTT